CGGGTTCAGGGTTTTGGAGGTTTAGGATTTACGGTTTTGGGTTTTGGGTTCAGGGTTTTGGGGGGGTTTAGGAGGATTAAAAACCTTAATTAGCGGTTTCTGGTATTAAAGAGATTATTCTGTTTCGGCGTATGCTTCGCGAGGCGCACCCTTCAGCCACAGCTCTGCACAGGAAGCAAAACCCTGATACTCTGCAAGGCCTCAAATCGTCTCGGGTTCAGGGTTCCAAGGCCGTAAACCCTAAACCCTTAAACCCCTAACCCGGGCTAAGGGCCTCGGGCATCTGAGCCGGTACGCCTGGACCTCATTCTAATCACGAGCCGCATGGATGGATGGTTGGACAGTCTGCTGCGAACTTTTGCTTTGTGCGTCCAAAGCCTCTCTCATGCCACGTGTGATGTGTCAATCTGGAGTCGTCCTTCGTTGCAGTGTAGGCCGGGCTTTCCATGTGTGTGATGATGGTGAGGGTGATGGCGATGGCCAGCACCATCCGCAGGCGAAGCCCCAACCAGAAGCTCCATCCCCCAAGCCACTCCATAAGTTTACTTGTCTACTGGCTCAGGTCATGAATTGCATGTTTGAGGGCTCGGATGTATTATAGTAGGCGGCTTTTACGATGGAAGGGTTTTTGCGTGCTAAGTATTCTGAGAGGGACTTGTGCCCCGCAACTAGGGTTACTGTTTCCCTGTTCGTTGCATACCAAGGATGCTTGGCCCGAGGTGGGTGTTGACAACGTTCGTGGCTTCGCGCTTTCGCCATGGCCAAAGAGGAGCCGCACGAGCCGGCTGTGCCGGGAAATCAGAAGAGCCCGGGCATCTCACCTCGATCTTTCCAGTCGCGACTGGCAGAGTGGAGCGAGCAATGCCTTCGATTTCAAGCCTCTGGCGAGACGTGGGTGCCCACGAAGCCCTGCTGTCCGGCGAGCCCCTTTCTGGGGTTAGAAGCTTGTCTCTGGCAAGGCTGCAAGAAGCAGGAGCCGACGGCATGTGTACAACTCCTTAGCATAGAGGAGTTGCTTGAGTTGTATGACTTCTTCCGCGAGGATCCCTCTGTTGAAGACCAGCCGGAGGCCGGTTTCGGATGTGAGCCACGGCTCGACGTGCGCCCCTGGGTGCGGGACCTCCCTGCTGGAGTTTGGGCCGGAGGCTTTCGACTCGAGAACGGCTCTGCTGCGCAGTGCCGCGAGGGCTCCTTCGCTGAGCCCGGCGAGACACACGCCCAGGCAGTGGTGGAACCACGACCTAAAAGGCAACGGGCTGGGCGCTGGAATGTGCAGCCCAGGGACACAGCCACCAAGAAGGGAGGCCGCAAAATTACGACCAAGGTCAACGAGAAAGCCGAGGCCCGGAAGGCCAAGAAGTCGAAGCGGAAGAAAGCCCCCCTCTCCGCCGTGAGAGGCGTTTATTTCTGCTGCAGGCACAAGCTCTGGCGTGTGCACATGTACAACCCCTCCAGCCAGAAACAGGTTTCTGGGGGCTATTTCAAGGTCCAGCGGGAGGCCGAGGCCAAGGCCCGAAAACTGGCCAAGGAGTTGGGGCTGCGAACGAAGCGCAAGCTCGTCTCAGCAGCAGCCTCCCAGTTTGAACCGCTTGGGACGCAGAAGGGGATCAGGTGGGGCCTTGGAGGCTGGAGAGCCTGGTTCAGGATATCCGAAAGTAAGAAGCAAATAGAGACGAAGTTCGCCCCCGATGATTTATCAACCACTGGGGTGGAGAAGGCCTGGAAGAAGGCAGTGGCCTGGCGCAGGCAGCAAGAGAAGCAGCAGCTTAAGCAGGCCAGTAAGCGCTGACAGTATGGCTACGTGCGGACGTGCACGATGCGAGGCGGATGCAACAGAGCTGGCCAAAACGGTGGGTTTAAGGTGTGGGAAGTACGGTTAAACCCTAAACCGTAGCAAGAAGAAGTTATAGCTAGATCTTTCGGTTTTGACTTTGACTGCGGCACCTCGCTTGAAAAGCCTAGACCGAGAGAGTTTTAACCGTTGACGCTACTTGAGACCCTATAAACCCTTATAAACCCTACTAACATGGTCTAAGACAGGGTCGAGATCGAGAGTTGCTTTGCGTCTTGCAAAGAAGGAGACTTGGGTTTTGTTTTTGAGCTCCGGCTTGGGTTTTTGAATACCTTTGCGTGAACTTACGCAGAGAGACCTGGTCCTTGAAAACGCACAGATAGACCCGGCCGTCAGTTCCGACATGTGCCCAATCTTTGCTTGCCTCCTGCCTGGCTTCCTGCGGAAAGATATTCACGTGCCGGCAGTTCGGTGGACACCTTGTTAAAAGACCCTCCGGAGCTGTGGCCATGGTAAGATCTTCAGTATCGTCACGTCTATAACGAACTGCGTCGGGCATGTGTTTACACAGGCGGGCAGACAGGCAGACAGACGGACAGACGTGTGTCACGTACACACACACACACACGCAAATTTTAAATGGCTGCAGGTTTTATCGGTCTTTGTGTTCGTATCTGTATGGATGCCTGGAATGTTGCCCAAAGCGGCGCATGTAAACACTCTTAAAGTATTGGCAGGTATGTGCATGTACCGGGTTGCATAGTTTGGGGATGGGTATGTGGGTTGCAGGTTCGCTTCGAAGACGAGATTCTCCACCAGATACCTGGCACCTGCAAACCCCGAAACAAGGCTTCCAAGGTTCCAACATACCTGAACTTGGCACCCTCTGCGCTGCTCAACTCCCACAAAGGCCATCCTAAACCCCAAAGCAGGTCTTTGACTGGGGAGACGACGATCCGAAACCACAGCGGAAGTCGCGGTCGCCCCAACGCAACCACCTCGGCTTGGGGCGAGAAGGTATCTTCGGAGGTCAGGCAGTTTTGTCGTTGTGTGGCGCTGGATTGTTTGAGTTTTTTGATTTTGACAAAGCACAGCTGCTCAGATTCCAAAAGGTTTAGTCGTTGCGCTGCTGTGAGTTATTTGGTGTTGTTCAAGACAAACCTGTTCGGATGTCAGAGGATCTGGTTGGTGCGTCGCTTTGCTCTGTTTAGTACGTTAGCAGAAGAAAGCTGTTCAGATGCCAGAAGGTTTCTTGTTCAGGTTCAAGTCAAGGTTTGCCGAGTAGCTTTCATGCGGGTGTTGCTGCCGTGAGTTTCGATGGCTGCACGGTATCCTCTCAGCTAAATCTCAAACCATTGTGGGTGACATTGAATGCCTTGTGTCTAGGTAGCTTCGCAAGATCGTAGTGATGAAGTTGTCTACAGGCTTCGTCTCGGGTTGTGGAGGGTGCTGCACAAAAGGTCCCCACACATTCCTGCTTCTTACTGTTTGTTCCGTGTTCTGGCATTATCTATCAACTGCAATCGAGCATTAAAGGTACGTTGCCGTAATGACGAAGCCTTGTTTGGCTGCTTTGAAGAGATTCATAGCTGGCCCCTGTTCAGGGTGCCGACTAATGCCGACTACTTTCCCTGAGTTTGCGGAGCTTTTGCAGAAATCCATTAACAGTTGGAGCGCGACACTCAAACTGCTTCCAGCTCTTGCATGCCTGTATGTACATGTGTTCTCATCGTTCCCGAAATTGTCGGGCAAGCCCTTCCCGCGCGTGATACTGGCGATGTTCCCGCAGGGACTCGTCGCCTTTTGGTCAGTTCAGAGTTTCGGGTCTTGCCTGTGCGTATTGGGAGTTTCAGAACCTAAGGGGCCCCTGATACAGAACCCTAACCCGCTGAAGCCTGACAAGAAGAGTTAAGAAGAGCACCTCCACGTGGATAAACCCCTAAAACCCAAACCCAAACCGTAAATTAAGACCTCAACCCTGAGCCCGAAATCCTAAACCCGAACCCTGTCCTGCGATCCGAAACCGATCCTTGCTGTGAAGACGGGGACGCTTTAATCTGCGAAAGCAAGCATACATCCAAAATCCTGACCCTAAAGTATTGTTATTATTATTGTTAGTCGTAGTAGTATGAGAATTAGTATCAGTTTCTTAGAATTAGTATTGAAAAAGTTTTAAAGTGAATATCAGTATTCGCAATAGCATGTGTAATCCTAACTCCCAAATCCCCTCCCCCTCCCCCCTCTCCCCCC